CGGACTGTCCAAATCCAAATGTAGTTTAATCCGACAGCGGAAATTAATTATAATTTCGGACTGTCCAAATCTAAATGATGTTTAATCCGATTGCGAAAATTAATTATAATTACGGCCTTTCTGTTTTTGTTCAGTATTTAGTGAGAAACAAAGACAGAATGACTCTTGTGTCGACTTGTGTCGACTGTGTCTCCTAAAAGGAAAGCAGCCGCAACTTTGCCAGAAACAACGTAGTAGCCAATCAGCATTTTGCTCTTACGGAAGAGTAACGTATTGATTGGTTATCGCAGATTCCGTCCGCAGATGTATTACCAATCAGAAATGTTTTCTTCTTCGCACACGTCGTTGGCTGCGTTCGGGAAGGGCGCTATCAGCGCTATTGCGTCATTCTATCTTTGTTCTACATTTAATGAACAATAAAGATAGAATGATGCAACAGCGCTGATAGCGCGCTCTCCGAACGCAGCCGTTGTGACAATGAGTTTTTTAAAGATCAGAAACGTTCCGAGTTTTCTTTTATGACAAATCGGACATATTTCATTGTATATAATAATTATTTACATATAAAGTCTTGTTCTACATTCTAAGCGCAAGACGCAAACGCAAGTAGAAATCTCTAATGAAATTGACTTGATTTTAATCGCATTGATCAAATCAGTACCAATTGAGCAACCCATGATTGGTCAATTCCACGAGACCTGCTACTTGCAATTGCATCTTGCTCTAATGTAGAACAGGCTTAACAAGACCGTTTTTTTTTTTTGGAACACGCAAACCTGAAGAAGTCTCTAGCAATATTTTTTTTCACTCACTTTTACGTTTCACTTTTCGGCCATTTGAACTATGAAGGTGCTGTGAATCTTCATTGCAACATAAAAATACCGACTAACTTGTCTATGTTTATATAAGGTAGTTTCGTACGTTGCAGAATGCAGTTGATACTCGCTAAGATGTTACAACGAATTCGATTGGATGCGCACTAGCGCGTCCTCTTTCAGTGTGTAGTAAAATACTGGGTGCGTTCAAACAACTCAACGGTTGAGAGATCATCACTTATGATAGAACTATTCTTCAAAATCTATTGGGGTTCCAACAGTATGATCCAATCAGAAGTGATTATTTCTCAACCGTTGTGCAACTGTTGAGTTGTCTGAACGCACCCACTAACACTGAAATATTCTACTACACTTTGGGTGCGTTCAGACAACTCAACAGTTGCACAACGGTTGAAAGATAATGAGTGCGTTCAGACAACTCAACAGTTGCACAACGGTTGAGAGATAATCACTTCTGATTGGATCATACTTTTGGAACCGCTGCATATTTTGAAGAATAGTCCTATCATAAGTGATGATCTCTCAACCGTTGAATTATCTGAACGCACCCAATGGCCACGTTCAGCAGACTGAGCAGATCAGTGAACGCTTAGTGATTCTTTAATATGATTGAATCTTGCCTTTAGATCTTCGCTGGATCTAAGTGTAGAAACCAATCATATTGAAGAATCACTAAGCGCTTACTGATCTGCTCAGTCTGCTGAACATGGGGAATCACTTCTGATTGGATCATACTTTTGGAGTCCTATCATAAGTGATGATCTCTCAACCGTTGAGTTGTCTGAACGCACCCATTGAAAAAAGAGACGCACTAGCGCATCCAATCGAATTCGTCGTTGGTTAGTCAGCACTTGAGTGATTTATGAGTAATCTTGACTGATAATGTACTTATGTTTTTTTTTTGTTTTTGTAAGAACTTGTTACAATTGTTTAATAAAATGTCATTATATATGATCAATCAACTTATTGCGTATATTTATGATTGCGATGTAAATAGAACTGATGTAAAGAGAAGAAAACCACCCAAGTGTGGTCAGCCTAACCTTTTCTTACGTTAAACACACGTGGACACGTGGAAGCGTTCTATAGTTTGAAGTTTGTACATTGTTTGACGTGCGTACCGTCTGTACGCGCGTATCGATAGCTCGAAATAATTCAAGTTGCGTTTAAATAAATGCTAAAAAAAAAAAAACAAATAAAATGGCGCAAAGATTAAGCAACAAAGCGAAAATCAAATCGTTTTTCACTGTCACGGGTAGTGCAGTTGCTCTGTTCGGCGGTATTTCGCTGTATCAGAGCAACGAAAAGTTTTACAACGAAGTTGCAATACCGATGATGCATCTATTGGATCCGGAAACTGCTCACAATCTCGCGGTAAAAATTTTGAAATGGGGTCTCGTGCCGAGACAGAAAACCGAAGATCCCCGTACTCTTCGAACAAGTGTGTTCGGTTTCAACTTGACGAATCCCATTGGCATGGCCGCAGGATTTGACAAACAAGGAGAAGCGGTGGAGGGATTGCACAAGATTGGTTTCGGTTTTGTAGAAATAGGTAAACTGTTTTTTCTTTCAATTTGGTTTTTTTTTTTTGTTTTCATCAAATAACGCGATTAATTAATTTTTATCTTGTATTTATGTTGCAGGATCTGTGACACCTAAGCCTCAGAGTGGCAACGCCAAACCCAGAGTTTTCAGATTGCCGCAAGACAGAGCGGTCATAAACAGATACGGATTTAACAGCGACGGTCACGACGTTGTATGGAAACGTTTGAAAAAATTAAAAGAGAACAAACATTTTAATGGCATCGTCGGAATAAATTTGGGAAAGAACAAGGAGTCCAAGGACGCGGTTCGGGATTACATTGACGGTATAAAGAAATTTATGGACGTGGCGGATTACTTTGTAATCAACGTTTCCAGTCCCAACACGCCGGGATTAAGATCCCTTCAGAGCAAACAGAGTTTAAAACAATTACTGACAAGCGTCAATGAAGCGAGAGAGATGTTGGATAGCAAACAGCCGTTGCTCTTGAAACTGGCTCCGGATTTGTCGGATTCGGAACGGCAGGATGTGGCGGATGTGATTTTGCAAAAGAAGTCCAACGTGGACGGTTTGATTTTGTGCAACACGACAATTGCACGACCGAATTTAATCGATCCGAACAGAGAGGAAAGCGGAGGTCTCAGTGGCGCGCCTCTTACCGACATATCCACCGCTATGATTTCCGACATGTACAAAAGAACACGCGGCAGCATTCCGATCATCGGAGTGGGTGGTATATTTTCCGGCACTGATGTTTACGCTAAGATAAAAGCTGGTGCCTCTCTGGTGGAACTTTACACCTCATACATATACAACGGACCTCCGATAGTCAGCAAGATCAAAAGAGAATTGTGCGAAATACTCGAGGCTGATGGTTTTTCTTCTGTGAATGACGCAATCGGTCGAGATATTAAAAACAGATAAATATTTTCCTGTTAGAGACGCATCGTATGTAATATCTTTATGTATATACAATAATATATATATATATATATATACAAAAATAAATTTGTTGCAATATAGATATAAAAAAATGTGAATACATGCAATAATTTTGTATAAATAGTTTGTAAATAGTGTATTTATATTGTTAATTAAACAAAAATGTTGTTTTATTTACGCGTTTGTCTTGTGAATATTCCAGAAAACATTTTATGTAATCGAACAGTATTGTATATGTATAGCGCAAACACATAAATATGTCATGCGTTGATTATGTCACAATGTTGATTACAAATAGCTATTTGTCGTGACAATATTATCAAACTTGTTTTCCTTTTCAAGAGAATAATCGATTAAAAATAATTACTTTTTTGTGCAACATATGCGGTGGCGCGCGTATATCATAAAAGCGCGCGTTGCAGAATACATTAGAATATTTATTATTTACCGGAAAAAGAATATCCGATAATTATGCAAAACCTGATGTATCATTGTTAAAAAACAGAAACGAGATTTTATCTACGTGAACTGTGAAGCCGATTATTTATTTTATGAGTTTTTAATCGATCGTTGTGCGATTTCATGATTTTTTAGTCTTTTCACGTAAGCAATTCAGAAAAACTGCTATATAAGTAATTAGCAAGTAATTATTTATATCTTGCTGGATTATTCCGCGACTATTTTATTGCGAAATTAACATCAATCTCGTTAGCCGTGCGTGTTAAGCGGAACTGGCCGGTTTCAATTTTTGCGGCAAAGATTTCTAATGACGATGACCGTTGATTGGTGGCGTTGCCGTTGCGCGTGGCGAAGTCGCGGTTGTGCGCCGCACGTCTCATCATCCACCACGTCCTCGCGATACCCGTGAATCGGAACAGTCAGCTGTTAGTGTCAAGCGAACATCCTTAACCAAGAAATTGCGCGAATAATCGTCAACCTGGACGCCCGTGATCGGTCACGACGACGACGTGCGCGATCCGACGATCAGAGCTAGCTCGATTCGGCCACGACGGAGGTAGTTTGGGTTTCTCTGCGAGTTCTCATTGTGTCCGTGCTGTGGGGGAGTCACACGGGGTCGCCTCGTCACGCATGTACTTCTCATGTGTGCTGAACGAGTTTATCAGTTATCATCGACGCGCGATGTGCTCGTGAAAATCCTGGACTTGAAGGCGCGTCGTCGCGACGATATTTCTCTCTCTCTCTTTCTCTCTCTCTCTCTCTCTTTCTCTCGTGATTTCCGACGTTCAGTCCTGCCAGTTGCGACGTAATAATGCGTACAAATGATATATCCGCGAGTAAAGAAACAGCAATTTCGTCGAATTTTTCGCACCAACAGCAAAATTTCTCCCGTCGTGTTCTCCAGTCGCGTGCACACGACACGAAATCCATGATCTGTGTGTGACGAGAGAAAACACGTCAGTTTTCTGACGCACAAAATGTGAATTTCTTTCCAAAGAGGTTGAATACGATATTCGGTTCGGTATAAATTTTTTCACGCGGGGGTTGGTTTCCCCCTTACTTAGCGTTCCCGTAAACGCGACGCCACGTAATTGTGCTGATACGCGTGAAATTTAAAGACGCGATATAAAAACGCGTACGATTGTTCATTTCTCGATTCGAGCATTTTTGTGGTGTGTTGAAAGATGCAACAAGTTTCTTGCAAATCGATATTGTTGCAACTTATGGTTCTGTTAATTAAAAACTGTTTTGGACCAGAAAAAAAAAAAATCGTGCGCGTTTTAACGTTACGCGTGTGTGACGCAAATTGACTTTTACGACTCGTAAAATATTGTCTGCTTTATATTCATGGATATTTTTTTTGTCTCAACTAATACATATTGAGCGGACGTCGAAAGAAGAAAAAAATGGCATTCTCGATGAGATGTAATTTTTAATGATTGTTTGCGCGAAAAATTTGTGAGAGATAAAGGAGAGAAGTCCATCACGTTACGGACTTCGCTCGAACAAATATTGGAGATTGACATTGCTCTCGTACCTCCCATCGACTAATGTAATAATACATAATGCAAGATAAACAATTTCATTTCACAAAGATGAAGAAGCCGTCCGTCAAGAAGCAATTTCGTTTTTCAAGGTCGTAATTTTTTCGAAATGCGTGTCTCCAAAGAAACGAAGAGACACGGTCTCTTTGCCATGTGTGTCAAAATTTTGCACGCGCCATGTGACTTTGCGAATTGCAACATTGCGCGACTCGATTTGTACTTTATTTGTTGTGTGCCGCGGTGAAATCGTCGATGAAATCATCTTTGACTTGCGAATTGTTGCGTCTTCTTCGGCAAAAGATGTGCTAAAAGCACCATATAACTATAAGGAAGAAAAACATTTCAAAAAAAAAAAAAATTTTTTAAAAACGCAAATTAGTGAACGCGATACACACTGCGTCGCGTTTAAAAGATTAATGTTTATAGCTTCCAAAAACACATGATACTGTCTTTTGAAAACGAAATTCTTACAGTGTAGATATGTGTGTGTACACATACGATAAATCTATATTCGTAAAATGAGATATCTCACGTTTTTTTTTACTTTGCGCGAGCAATTCGTTTTTTTATTTTTTTTATTGAAAACTCGTTCGACTACTCTATAACGCGTGTACGTTTTCACATCGAACACATTTTCTTCTCTCTGATAAATATATATAATATGTACAATATATATATGTATATATATATATATATATATATATAATTGTGCACGTGTGGAAATTTGTAGTCCAAAATAACTCTAGACGGAACAATAATTCACTCGATTTATAACGCTTGGATTTTGTGTACTTGGAATGTTTTATTTTGGGTGACACATCTTGATACGCGTCTAAGTATAACGACGCACATCTCTCGTACGTCACTCGGTTTTGAGGAAAATTTGCAAAAAAAAAAAACATTTATCTCAGAAGCATTTTTTTGATTATCATTCTTAAGTCACTGGAATTTAACAAAGAACGCGGCGGAGGCGGCTGCAATGAATATTATTTGTTTTTTTGCATTCGCGCGCGCGTAATTTCAACCTTGGTGGAATTTCACTTTACCCCTTTTAATTAACAAATCCGACAATTTATATATTTAGACGAGACCAAAATATGTTTCATTCTCTTTATCTATACAGCTCGATTATATTTTATGGCGTAGAACAAACCAGCGGAACAGGTTTTGATGACCTTGCAAGATTTCAATTACTGTCATTCGTTCGTGTTAATAAAAATATTCTCTTTGTTTTTTTTTGAAGTGATTAAAATATAAATGGCAGGGAAGTTGAAACGTCCGAATGTTTTTGTTATTCGCGCAAAAAACAACTCGGCAGATTATTATTCTCGGAAGATTGGATTTTCGCAAATTTTTAGAATTTGTTTTTTTTTATAATGTACATTCTTGCAATATGTTTCAAACAAACAGCGTGTGTTACTTGTCCGAAGTGATCATCTGATCGTATTCGATAAGAAATGTGTTATACAATATTCTTCGAGCGAAAAATCTTATAAAATTTTTGGCTTTCTCGATGTGTTATGTAAATTGTTTTATCTGCGCATATAAAACAACTGAAGCACAAGGCAAAAAGTGCACGGTAGTAAATAGAATAATGTCGTAATTTATCAACGTTTGTGTTTGGTCAGCTGTGTATTGAGACTTTTTTCACTTCAACTTTTTGTTGTGCGCAATACATATCTCTGTTTTTTATATTCTTTTTTTCACAATCATCGAATATAAATTCGCACAAGTTTGGTTTTTACGACACGTTGCGCTGCGTATAACAATAAATAACGATATCTTTCGCGAAGAGAGACATAAATAGTGAGATATAAATTTATTGACTGAACTCTCGAAATTTACGCTATTGTCTGATTTTTTGATTACAGAATATATTGCATCGATCTTGCGAGCGGATCAAAGTATGATCCTGTAGCGGCTTGTGCAAGATCTCTCGATATCTCTCAGAATGTTCAAAGACAACGACAATGGAGCGGGAAGTTGCAACGCCGCGCCTTCCCGCCCTCGAAGGTTATTTCCTCGATTTTCTCTGCGAAGATTGTTGTATTCCAGTCCGATCATCGGCCGTCGCATCGCGAGAACGCCGAGCACAAACAACAAAAATTCAAAAAGTGCGCGAATTCATTAACATTAAATTAACATATATACATATGTTAACATTAAAGAATATAAATAATTGTTTTTATAAAAAATATATTTTCGCAGATAAAGATCAGACGAGTGGTAGAATGACGGACGTAGAAAAAGGCGAAGCCAGAGCCAGCAACGGCTCCAGTCACTTTCAGTTTCACAACATAGATCTACATCGTGCTTCCAGCAAAGGCTCTGTACTCTCTTCCGCGGGAAAGGTAAGCGAGATTTGAACTTATTTGTTTTTCTTCTTTTTTTTATATGGTTTTGAAAACCTTTGTCTTTTTTTATTTATTTTTTTATTTATTGACAATTGTGTCAATTTGTTTGTCTCAGAGTAACGAGAACGGGATGATGGAGTGCCCGTTGTGCTTGTCCGAGCTTCCAGCAGAATTCTTTCCTGTTGTTCAATCTTGCCATCATCGCAGCTGCTACGACTGTTTTCAACAATACTTGAAAATGGAAATCTCCGAGTCCAGAGTCAACATTGCTTGTCCCGAATGTTCGGAGCCGATGCATCCAAATGGTGTGTGTTGTTCTATTTTGGACGCTTCGTTTTGCAAAACAATTTTCATCAAGTGAAAGAGTGTGATTTTTATTTCTCTCTCAACAATTCTGTGCTCTTCCCCCTCGCAGATATTCGGATGATTTTGAACGATCAAACACAATTAGAGAAATACGAGGATTTTATGGTTCGAAGAGTGCTCGCTGTGGAACCCGATGCGAGATGGTGCCCCGCTCCGGATTGTAGTTTTGCTGTGATCGCTAGCGGTTGCGCCTCGTGTCCGAAATTACGCTGCGAACGACCAGGTTGCGATTCGTATTTTTGCTACCACTGCAAAGCGCGATGGCATCCGAATCAGACGTGCGACGCGGCTAGAGCACAACGATCGCAATATTACGAACGCAGCTCCTCTCTGAGTTTCAGCCAAAGTGATTCTCAACATAGTAAGTCGAACTGTTGCACTGTTAATTCGCGTCTATTTTCGTTCTGATGGCTGACAGCAACTTATATTATCTTCGACTTGTTTAATAGGAGACGATATAAAACCTTGTCCGAGATGTCAAGTATTGATTGTGAAAATGGACGATGGAAGCTGCAATCACATGACCTGTGCGGTTTGCGGCGCTGAGTTTTGCTGGCTCTGCATGAAGGAAATTAGTGATCTTCACTATCTCAGGTAACGAATGTTCAATTATGAATAAAAAAAAAAAATAGTAAGATGAATTTCCGCAACAATTTAAACTTTACATAAATGTTTTAATGTTACTATTTGTAGTCCTTCTGGCTGCACTTTTTGGGGAAAAAAGCCTTGGTCCAGAAAGAAGAAAATCCTTTGGCAGCTCGGAACTCTGGTAGGAGCACCGATTGGAATCGGTCTTGTAGCTGGTATTGCATTTCCTGCTATGATAATAGGTTGGTTTATATTAAAAAAACAAACATATGTACATTATTACATTATACAGCGCGCGCGCATATAAATATGTGTCGGAATTTCGCATTGAAAAATCACATGTCAATGTAAATTTATTTCTTTGTTTAAGGTATACCTGTTTGGGTAGGCCAGAAATTGTACACGAAATACGAAAAAGCCAACAAGCACAAAAGAAATGCCTTCATCGTTGGCGGAGTTGCTGCTTCGGTAAGTTTTATTTGTGAACGTTTTTTCTACACAATATATCATGGAAGTGTCAGTTTTTTTTTTTATTGAACCGGAATATATCTTAGTAGATAGCAAATTGAACAAATCAATATTTGAACCTGCGGTTCTTCTCTAAATATTACTGAATATTACTATCGCAACGAGATCTGTTTTTCTCTCGACGGTCTCAAATGTGCGTGACGTTACAGCCTTCGAAAAAACTTTTTTTTGAAATTTCTTTATTAATTTTTCAGTAAAATAAATTTTCGAATCTTATTTAAATATTCCAACGAAAAAAGTGACGCAATATTTGCTCCTAAAATCTACGTTTTGACTCTTATTTTATTGCCGTTTTATTATTCGTATAATTTCAAGCTTCTCTCTCGAGAGTCATTTGTATTTATATCTACTCGCTTATCAGATTAACGAAAAAAATACGTGTTGCTGTTCGCTTAATCCCCTTTATCAACTGTTTGAAGTGATTCTCACTATAACATTTCTGTAAAACTTGATACAAAATTTTCGAACTATTCAATATGATCGTAAAAGTGTCAGTTTTTAATATTTGCAAAATTAGAGTGTGATGTGTGTGTGTGTGTGTGTATACGTGCTTTATTTTATTAAGTTAAATTAAGCATAATTTGTTTCAAATATATTCTTTTATATCTTAAAACTTAACGTTCCACGTACGCGACGAATTTGAGTGAACGAATCGATTACGTGAATTTTGCACGTGCACTTACAGAAAAAAAAACAAATGGATGTATATATATTAAAAATAGGAACTTTGTTCGCTATTCGTGATAACATCGAAGTATATTTTTTTTTATCTATATAGTTTATACAGAGAAAATGGATAATACAATTGTATATAGCGTTTAACAAAACAGCGCGATCGCTGGAATAAATGTTGTCGGAAGAAGTTTATCACGGGACGTGTTTCGGGCAGATGGAACGTAATCGTTTTTTTTTTTTTTTTTATGTATATCTCGAAAATATTCTATATAACTTTGACGCATGCCCTATAACATCGATCACCAATCTAGTTGATTTCTAGAGTAATTGTGTATCACATCTATTTGCCTAAATCCCTCAACGACTTGGCACAGCGCACATTAAAGATGTTTGTCGGCAATTATCTGAGCAAAAAACCCAATTAAGAAAAATCATTGTTTGATAAGAGTAATCACTGTTCCTCCTCTCTCTCTCTCTCTCTCTAATGGTGCTTATCTTAGAAAAAAGATTCCGATTTTTATCTTACTTTTATCTTCGAGAACTTTCATCGAATTGGCAAGATGATGATTCTTGCACGATTTAGTCAATAATCATTTTTAACTTTTTCGATATAATATGTGTTAAAAGTTCACATTGATTTTTTTTTTTTTTTTTTTTTTATACCTAAGACATGTGTTTTACATATATCGTGCCGTTTAAAATATTTCGCGATCTCGATCAATTTTCTTATCTACGATATCTCGTCGCAAAGAGAAGAAAATCTAAGAGCACACAAGTTTTTCTAAACGTCCGCTATATTCTTCCGACGTGTTTCTTCGTAAATTTATATCTTCTTCGTCGTTCCTGTTTTTTTTTCGTGTCATTTGCCGGTGTCTAAAGCCTCCTTCGAATTGTGAGAACACAAAAAAGATTGCGTCTTCGAAAGCTACGAATGGGCTATCGGAGGTGTGGTGTGTGTTCTATTCCTCACGTGTGTTTCTTCGCTTCGAGTCACAGCCCGGATAGAAATATATTAAAATTATTCAGTGCATGCGCTAACATTAACGGTGGCAGCGGTAATTAATGATCGGCTCCATTCGTCGCGACGACGGACTCGTCTATTAGAACGCCGTCGTTGTAAAGATCCTCGAGCACGTCGATAAGTCGCTGCTCCGTAAGCGGATCGCCGAGTGCAACGTCCACCGATCCGATACAAAGTAAAAGCGCCAGCAATTGGGACTTTCTGTAGTCCTTGTCGAGATCTTCTCTGGTATAACCCAGGTCCTTGGGAATGTTTAGGCCGAGACGCGAGCACGTCCAGTTTAGCTTGTTCCAGTACGTGTCCAAGAGCGATTCGGTGTGCTTGCGCCGTAACTCGGTGGGCACCGAACTCACCAACAGCAATGCAACATCGTTCGTAGGTCGGCTGTAGGTGACCATCTGCCAATCGAGGATGTAGCACTCGGACGTTCCGGAAGTATCTCTGAACAGTAGATTATTGCTCCAGAAATCGGTGTGGGTTATCAGCGCTAACGGACCTTCCGGAGCGAGAAGCGCCGAGATTATGTCTTTGGTACGAGGTCGTAGAACCAGCAGCGTCTCGAGCACCGCCTCCAGTCCCGGTCTGGTTTCCAAGAAGTGCGCTAACTGCGGCAAACCGCGTTCCACCAGTTGTTGATAGGAATCGGTAGCTTTTGCCGTTTGGAAGAGAAACGGATAACGCTCGGACAGAGACTCTCCGTCCACGACTTTCATCGACAGCGAATGAGCGTGTATGCGCGCGATGGCGTCAAGCGCGACCGTCGCTTGGTCCAGTGTCAGTCCTTCCGAGAACTTGATGCTCTCGAATCGCGAGGCGCCCAGATCGTCCAATACCAATATAGATTCCGACGGTATAGGACTGTCGTCGGTACCACTTGCGGGACTGTAATGAGCGTGGTAACATTCCGGGACCGGTAGCACAATCGGTTCCTCCGGACTGGGTCCCAGTTGTCTCTGATTGAACGCCTTCAGATCTGGCATCACCTGATCGCACAAACGCGCCGACGTTCGTCAAGAATTTGTTCGAAGGAAGAAAGCAAAATATCACAAAAAAAATCCGAAATTAATTAATCCTATCTCGCTTACCTGTGTGTAAAATTTAATCTCGCGAAGATCGAATTGGCCTTCCGTGACGAAAAAGCGACTGAACGGATCTCTAGGTAGTTGCTTGATGATAACGGATAGTTTGTGCTTCTCCGACGGTTTGTCCGTCGGATCCGTCGTCGACCCAAGCAGATAACTTCCCGTCACGTTGGTGATCGCGCTCAACGCGCTCTCGCTGGTCGCGCATCCGGGACTCACGCAGAATTTCAATACCTCGACCTAAACAAATCATTTTACTCGATCGAACAATGAATCACTATGTAACTCGAAATTAATAATCAAATTAACACAGATACATCGCGCTGAGACATCAACACACGAATATCCACATGATCTGAAAAGGATTCTAACCGATCTTCCGTCGTGATATTTGGACAATATGCTCTCAAGCCAATCTTTCTGGACCTCCCAGTCCGAGATGATCTGCTCCTCCCCGCAGGAAGTGTCGGTCTCGTCGTCCAAGTCGGACATGACTCCTCCTGTGGCTCTCTTCCCTCACCAATCTGTCCTCCTCGTCTCTCCTATTTTTCTCTTTCTCGATCTCGAGCGTTGGCGCGACGCGTCGGCGATCCTCTCGCTCAACAACACAGTTAACAACCAGTTTCAAGCGGCCAGCGTTAACGAGGCATGTGCGCCGTCGAATGACAAACGCTACAGACTGCCACCGGAGGATAATATTATATTATACCCGCGTATCTGCTCAATTACCACACATACACACGCACGCACGCAACGCGTACGTGTGGCCGCCAGCGTGAAATCACCGTCGCTGAATGAGCCTTCCTCGTTACGTGTCGCTGCCTCTTCCCGGTTACGTCCGCCGATTCTGCGCCGATTCGCGAGAGACCACAGTTCGACGACCCAGCAGCATGAAAGGAAGGAGAAAGAGAAAGAGAGAGAGAGAGAGAAAGCGGCTACCCTCAATCGACACGCCCTCCGAGGAGCACCGACCGACCGACCGAGCGACGCGGACGCAGGCACTTCTCTTCCTCGACCTACGCGCCCTTAATCGCTACGGCGCGACGTGTAGATCTCACAAGCACTGACCGACGCGTTGCATGTTCCGTTGTAGCTCACCTTTGGGTGCTCGCCGAGTGCCTCGTCGGCAGCCGCAGGGTGGGACGTTCGCGCGGTACGCGCGCATGCCTACTCCCGATCAATATTCTTCCTTCTGCCCCTCCCGGATCTCCTCTCTCCACCCGCGCGTTCTCTCTGTCTCCTTTGACCATCCGTATCACACATCGTGTCACGACGCTGCTCCTTTCTAGAGTTCTCGCAGGAAATCTGAAAAAACAATCGCATCGGTTCTTCCGCAATACGTCCGTCCGTATCGCGCGAATGGAGAACCAACTTCGGTCGGATTTGAACACGTCGCGAATGTTCCATTCAGAATAAACGAGAGACGAGAGAGAAAACGATGTGTGTGTACACACACCAGCTAGATAATTTCGTTTCGCATGCGTGAAAACCCATGCAAGAGGCGAGCGCACATCGCGATATAGACGACGTCTCCCCCCCTCCTCTGCTCCCTTTCATTGATAAAATATTTGATAAAAATGTTAAAACTTGTAATCGCTTATAGATTGAACCTTGAAAAGCACAAAGCGGTTAATTTAGATAGATATTGGCACTCAGATAAGATATTGGATGCTTATCGATAGGTTTATCCGAGATAAAAAAACGTGCGCGACACCATTGTGTGTCAAAAATAATCATATTTCAAAATTGATTACTTCCTTTGCAAGACGATTGATTTATATAGTTTGTACCGAGAGAGCGTCACACAAGCGCGCGTTAAATTTTTATTATCGGACTCTTCCCTCGCGCCGTCCACAACTACGCCGTGGCCTTCGATGTATCTGACCGACGTTCCTATTTATATTACTTAACAGGTGTCAGCTACATTATTCAAAGCACAGAGAGAAGCCTTAAAGACGCTAATAACATTACTCCCCTTACAGACGCCGCTCTTTGATCGTAATTTTTTTTTTTTTTTTTTTATTGTGACGAGCGAGGCGTGACGAGGAGAGACGCACAAAGGGAAATGAGAGAACAAACCACAGAAACTTTATAATTCGCATGCTTTGTTTCAAATCGCAGATCTTAGTGTCACCAGTGCTGGCGGGATTCGCAGTGGGTATCGGCGTGCCCATTCTGCTGTTTTACGTTTACGGCGTGGTTCCGGTATCGCTCTGCCGAAACGGAGGCTGCGGAGTTTCCACCAGTGGAAGCGGAGTCAGATTCGACTTTGACGACGAAAACGATCTATTGGGAGCTCTAGGTGTACGCAACGGAGGTAAATTATATGTAGTAACTCGCGTGCTTACGAGTTCTCTCGTTCGAGATCGGTTTGTTGTTTTTCTTTTGTGCGCATATGCTATTGAAAAGTTGCGCAACGAACGGAATCGAATTTCCATTTGCGAGCTCGTCACACGTTTGCAGATGCGGCATCAATAGACGTCGCGAGTCACCGCGGCGGTAATCCATCGATAGGAGAGGCCTCGCTTTCATTAGGCAGCGGCAGTCAGTTGGAGAAATTAGGCCGGGAAAATGACCGCGAAAGCGCCAGTAATGTGGCTCTCGCTGGTACCAGTCTTGCGGGTAGTATAGCCTCCAGCGTACTTCCTGGAGGACAAAGGTATTGTTTGTTTTTTCTCAGTTTCGTCAATAAACGCGTTCTGATCTGATGCACATGACCTGTATGATCGCGTCTACGTACAGGTTGGAAGTCCAGGCTGATGTTACATCCACGCAACGCTTCAGTTTGTGCAGCGAAACCGCATCCGCGGCCACTAGTTTGTCAGAAAAATCCGTTAATGCTTCTATTGCTTTGGACGATGGCGCGGCTTCCACGAGAGCCTTGGCCGGCTCTGTTATTAATTTCAAGGTATTTTTATTTCACATATTTTTTCGATTATTATAATTATGTTGTACATCTCTCAAATATATTCATAAGATACTTTTTCGTTATTGTATTGTCTTATGTAGATGGATGGCAGTTCGATCAGCGGCGGTAGAAGTACCGAGGGAGAGCAGGCGGTCAGCTCCACGAACGGTGGTCACATGGACTCGGCTGGACAAGCTACTTCACTAAGCTCTCTGGAAGAAGTAGCACCCGGCTTAGCGAAACGTACTCGTCGCAAGCTCACGTTCGACCGTCAGTGCAGCGAGTCAAGCAGCTGGACGATGGGCGGAGGAGAGGACGGTGGATCCGAGCGTGTACGATTTGATGATCACGTCAGCGTGATCGAAGCGGATCAAGAGAGGGTGGTGGGTGGCAAGCTCGAAGCAATGAATAATAATCGTTCGGCGGGCGGACGCAAGCGAAACAAAGACTCCGAAGCGGAAGCGGATGTTCAAAAGATATCTAAGTACGAATTGCAGAATTAGTAAGTTAAAACTCCGACAGAACAAAGAGATTTACAAAATTTTATTCCCATGTGTGTGTGTGTGTGTGTGTGTGTGTTTGTTTAGAGATTCGAACGGTGAACCAAACGCCGAGAGTCCAGTGGATGACGCTTCGCGGGAGCGCGTCAACGTGGCAACTTTGAGAAATGTATTCTTTCACAGTACGTCGACAACGTCCACCGATCGCGAGAAACGATTGTCCGTGATAGAAGAACCGACACCGACCGTGACACAGACTTCCGACAATAGGATCTCCACACCTTGCGACGAGGGCCACAGTCGTATTAGTCCCGACAAGAATTTACATTGCTAGGAAAATTAAGACTGAGTGTCATTGATTTAACCGGTGTCCCTCGAAACATTACGATGTATAGATATATACATATTGGTGAGTGTGTATATATATATATAAATATATACATACATATATTAAAACTACAACTAACTGTTTAACGCGCGAATGAGAGCGCAAAGGTTTGTACATACACCCGCATACGCAACACAAACATTTCAAATCGGAGATAGAAACAGTCAGAGAAGATACGGCGAAGTAATTTTAATGACTGTGTGCATTTGCGCTGTGATTAATTGCATAAAAAAAAAAAAAAAAACGAACTAGAAGAGAGCGTACATACACACATTGTATAAATGTACTGGCCTCCAATTCGTTAGAAACATATATTGAAAGAGAAAGAAATTGCGCAAATTTTCCTTTAACGACGATATTTTGTGGAAAATTATTATACGTTGTTGTTATTAACAAAAAAAAACAAAACAAAAAGAAAAACAAAATTAATATTGATCTCTATTATCGAGATATTATCTCCCGACTCCTTTTGAGATCCGGTTTGTAACGAACAGGTGGACAATACGCAAGAGCTCACGAATTATTACAAAGATGAAAGTTTATCGCGGATTTTCACTGCATTTTATAAGTCGAATAACTGCTCATTGTTATTTCTTTAAGTATTACGCGTTGTCGTTACTCCATCGGCCAATATATGTATAAGGATATTTAAATATGGATATTTCCCCTAAGAAAGAAAAAAAAAACGTGTCTGTCCTTGCTGTGTAAAAATATATGTAATACAAGTAAAACGCGCAACTTTTACTTATATCAAATATATTTTGTCCTTTATATGGAGATTTATATATATATGAAAATTTGTTTTTTTTTTTTTATATTGAAGTAATATATTTTTTTGTGTAAAGTTTTTCTTAACTTTACATTTTTTTTTCAAAAACATGCGAACAATGAAAAATGTGAAAAAGATCTTATTGCAGATCTTGTGTTTAAACTTCTCTTTTTTTTTAAGCAGAAGTACTTGTTGTTAATCTTATATTATTATGTTGTAATTTATTTCGACTCTCTTCTATAAGTTTTAGTTTGGATATCCAGACCAGAAAAAAAACCCGAATTCTGAACTATGACGTAAACTGCCGCATGTTTTCATGTACGTGTGAATCTAGAGTTATATTAACATATATATATATTCATAATATATAACAGACGAAATTTTAAACAAATTGAAATTTTAAATTGGTATTTCGAATGTTGATGCACTCTCTTTATTTCTAAGATTGAAAAAAATTTCAACAAATTAATGGACTTTTTAATTTATTGCGTTTTAGGACTTTCAAGAAAAAAATTTATAAATTATTGCATTTTGTCGAAAATTTCTCACGCATATACGTATATAATACAATATTTTACGAACGTTTAAAATTACTACTTGTGTAAAGGAAAATTATAAAATGTATGAATACTCCTTGTTCACGATTTTTGTAATGCGCCTTGAAAAGAATTTTATATTAACACGTGCACAAATATCATACTATATTAAGTTACCATATTATAACATATTTTTTTATCTAAACTATCAATCGAGAAATAAAGACCTTAACAGCCAAAATACTAGATTGTATGTGCAAAAAATATATATATTTTTTTTAAACGTGTAAAATCAATACACATAGCAATTCGAATTATATTTTTTGTTTGAAATATATATATATATATACATAGAGATATGTGTGTTGTGTATAATTCTTTCTGAAATATACATCGCATGATGCGTAGAAAATCAAATTTATGCGTTTGGTTTTATTGATGAAACGATTAAAACAAAAACAAAAAAACAACCGCTAAAGAGAAAAGTTATTAAAAGTATATATTGTAAAAATAGAATAACACACAAATATTACCTAAGAAATATCTGTGACTTTCCGAAAAAAAAAATCTGCCTATAGCATTATGTTTATTATATATTATACACAGAAAAAACGCAAATATCAAATAGAAGTATCTCTTAGTACATATGTTGTTTAGAGTACTGGCATTTACAAATAATATATAAGAATAAATTACTTAGTTTGTCCGTACTTGCCTATCGTTAAAATATTTGTACAGCACACAGAAATATACCTTTTATGCACTGTTATTATCATTTTACACTGTCATTGTATAACAATTGTATATATTTCTCTGGGAGACAAAATAAACAGCTAAAAGAGACAGCAATATGAAATGGACTTACTGTGAATTATATACATCTATATAATCTAAAACACAAACGTTTATACTGTTGTATATACATCACTTTAAATCTAAATTTGACGCAAATCTTTGTCTTTCATATTGTAGTTTTAACTTTATATCATTTATATGTATAACTAATATAACAGTAAAATTAAAACGATAATGTGACGAGAGGTAAAGTTTTAATTTTACTGAAGTAAAATTAAAAGTTATAAACAAAGAGATAAATATATATATATGTATGTATTTGGTGTAATACAGTTTCATTGAAAAAAAAAACGGTATATTTTTGCATATATACAAATTCTATATTTGTTATAATCTATAATGATCGACTTAAAAATAAAGGAGATTTTTTGAATAATTCATCTACTTTAAGTTTGAACAATTCACTTTGTATAGGTTCGTTTAATTGGCAGAGTGGATTTTTTACTACATATTCCAGATATACCTAAAACGAAAAATACATCAATTATGCCAACCATACGCAAATTTGTCTGCTGCTCTTCTTGGTCAAAGCAAATACGAAAAGAACCTACTTCTCTGTACAATTGTTGCAACAATTCTCGAGCGCTCTGACTCGCGTTATCAGTGTTCAATACAAACTTGAGACCGGATGGTGTTTCAAAATAATGGAGTGTATATTTGCTAGTCTTGTAATACAAAAACCCTTCCTTGGGATCCAGTGGTGAGATTTTACTTACAAATGATTTTATGGAAAATAACATTCCATACATTAACTTTGCCTCCTTAAATCGTAAGCATTTTTATTATTGTGAAAAACTTTCTCGTTGAGAGTTTCGATAAGATCATATTTTCGCTTGTGTGTTTTATAGTACGAATTAAATATCTTTCATACATGCGCATCTGCTATTTTGTTATACGTTATTTAGTTTGGTTTTATAAAATTTATATAATACACATAATATCCTCCTATATATATAAATCTATACGCTTATAATAATAAAGAAATGTGTTTTGCTACTGTCATCACTGTATGTGAAAAATTACTCTATATAATTCTCTTCTTATTATTATTTTAAATTATTATATTACGTTACCTCTTCTCTTGTCATTCCTGATTTATTCAATCTGTTCCACTCAGTATAATACAGCAAAGTACCGGTTTTCGAAAAAATGTACAAGTTATGAATAGTCATGATTGTGTATACAGTATTCTATTTGTTCTATTAGAAAATTCTCATAAAGAACAAATGCTTCACTTTTCACTCCTTGTTTTGACGTTTTGACAACGATCACCGACGTTTCCTACAACACAGCTGTTTTCTTTGTTTTCGCACACTCTGATGTCAAGCCGACTAACTATCTTTCACTAACATACTTATCCTCGATTCCGTGATTCGAGTGTTTGCTAAAGTGGTTCTGATTTTTACCTGTTCTTCTACTAACTCTCTCTTAGTACGCTACCGCTCTCACTGATTTTTACCTGATTTTTTACTTTCATTGGCAGAGAGAAGCCTGAGAGCGACCAGACCCATAACAGAATGTGTAATCACTTTTCCGCCCCGTAAACTAGCGCATGTCCACATGGGTGGTACACATTGGAACTACGTAGCCAGTCCACGAGCGATATGTCGGTGCGATATGTCCACAGCGTGCGGTTCTATTCTGTGCTATGTGCACGAGTTTAAATGGTCACTTTCTTTAAGTGTGTGAGTATATTCGAGAGCGTAAATTTGATTTTTTTTTAAATTTAAAATGACCGATCTCGTGATGAGAAGATGAGGAAGGAAAACAGAAAAGGATAAGAAAAACCATTGCAACTTTTCGTACAACATAACTATGATATACCAGAAAAGATATGAAAGTCAAGAAAAGAATCTTATTTTAGCGAGCAACATCAGAATTCGTGGAGTGTAGTCAAATATCATCTCCTTTTACATCATTTGCTGCTCTGTGCTTTATAAATTTTATTTTATTTTTTTAAAACACTACAAATATATATATAAATACAAAATACACAAAAAACCATGTATTATACAAAGGTGTTTTAACGGTACACAAATATAATGTCAGAAAAATTGCAATTCCAAGAAATATAGCTTTTGAGCTTTTTTATTTAAAACTCTTTATCAGTGAGTTTTCTATTTCCAAGATTCATTTTACAATTTTTTTTTATACATTACAATAGAATACAATTCTATTACACATTTATTACATATAATATACAATATAATACAATATAATAACACACAATATTATATAATATAATATATATAAATAGTTATATATAATCCTACCTACCTACCTACCTATCTTAGACATCTGACATATTATCTTAAACGTTACTAGCCTTATTAATTAGGATTAAGGCTGCATAACAGCCTTGATCCTAATTTTACATTTTGATTTCTTCCTATTTATTCGGTCTACCATATCTCCTACCTACCCGGCCTAATATATTTTCTACAAACGCTTGTAGATACGCATCNCTACCTATTTACTTACCTACTTTGGAAAGTTTTAAAATCTATCAAATATTTTACGCGAGGGGCAGTTGTTTTAAAATTAAAAAGTAATTATTTTAAATTTATTTTAGTTTCCCGACCGAATTTTTATATTTTATTTGATTTAAAGAAAGTATGTACCCATCCGATAAAGCCTACCATGTATTTATAGA